CCCCCCTACACCCTTCGCGAACAGCCTGAAGAACGTTTTGTCGTTGTTGCAGCAGTAACGGGAGGGCGCCAGTGTCCAGCAAGCCACCCTTGCCGCCGCAGCCGCCACGCGTCGCCGCGCTGAGCACGCGGGCGTCGGCGTCCACGGCGTCGGCGTCGACGTCGGCGTCGGCGTCGCGCCGACGCGCCGCCACGGACCTTGGTAACCCGGCGGCGATCGAGATGGCGAAAGCGCGCGCGATGCAGGCCGCCCAGGAGCGCCCGGTCGGCCTGCTGGAGACCGACCTCGACGAGGCCGTGATCAACACGAGCTACGGCAACAGCACGACGACGACGGCGTCGACGCGCGCCGGTCAGACCGCTGCTGCTGCTGCCGCCGTTGCCGCCGCCGCCGCCGCCGCCACCACCGCCGGCAAGAAGACCCGTAGCCTGCTCGACCTCAACCACACCTCGGCGGCGCCGCGGCCGCGGCCAGAGCACGCCCTCCACGTACCCCAGTCGCCCGTCGGCGCTTCGCACAGGAGCCCCCGCGACGACGCCGCCGCGTCCGCCATCCATCAGCGGCCCCACAAGTCCATGGAGTTCCTCCTCGACAAGGAGAACCTGCACTTCGTCAAGGTGAGTCCTTCGTTTCTACTTCTCTCTCTCTCTCTCTCTCTCTCTCTCTCTCTGTGTGTGTCTCCCCTCGCTGCTCGCCACAAAGGTCACTCGGCGACGCTTCCCTTCGTCGCCGAGATGATAGACGACGGTGGGAACGCCGAGGGGAACGTCGAAGGTACGTCGAGCGTGAAACCCGCGGCGGAGACGTCGTCGGATCGATCTCGACGCAACCCGAGGACTGACGTGGGGGAGAAACCAAGCTCGTTCGCCGTCAGATGCTCCGATCTCCTAACGAGATCGATCAATCGAGCGCGCGCGACGCCGCGCCGATCGATGGCGCGCGATCGCGATAGAACTTGGATTCCAACGGAGGGATTCCCGTTCGGGAGGAATTTTCTCGCTCGCAAGGAAGTCGCGAGTGGTCGAGCTGGTGCCGAGTTGCGTTGTCACGCTCGCCTTGCGAAATTGGTTACACGCGACGCTGAAGACGATCCATCGCGTTCGGGGGATCTTGAACGGAGGTGTTCGCGTTTCGTGTCCGAGTCGGTCGCGAAACCGGAGCATCGATCGAGCCATCGTTCGAGCGTGTCGATCCCGCGCGATTGGCAGATTGCGCCGTCGGGTATTCTAGGCGCGCGCGGCGAATCGGTCTGGAGGATTTGTCGGGCGCCCTGTTGAGTAACGCGGAGCAGCGTCGAGGTAGCGCGAATCAATTGACATTCTCCGACGTGGAGATCCGGACGGACGGTCGATCCGCCGCGCAGCACGACTTTTGATCGACGTGTTAATTAACCCGCGCTGCGTGTTCTTGACTCCGTCGTTGCGACAGGAATTAGCATTCATTTCATTAACGTCGCGTCGCGTGCGAGTCGTCAATGTCATCCGATGATCCGGCTTGTGTGTCTCTCGCACACCTCTATGCTCGATATCGTTCCCTTCATTTCGTGCACAATGTCACGATACTTAATCGGATACGTTACGATAAGACACGCACGTGTGTCACGGTGAATTTCCCAATAATTCCCTTCCCCCTGGTGAGAGAGGGTGATGTTAAATCAGGTGTTGAAAGTCACTCTCTCTCTCTCTCTCTCTCTCTCTCTCTCTCTCTCTCATTCTCTTTTACGATAGAATCACTTTGAAATTGTAAAACTTCCAAGTCATTAGAGAAATCGTTCTTGATAAGTTACTATCAACGACCACGTTACACCTCGCATTTGGACTAGACCTTTGTTTCGATGTTTAGTCGACTGCCTTGTCTGCGGTCTCCGTTTACATCTCAGTATTCTCCCAACCCCGAGTACCTCAACGGACAAATCGCCGTAACCGCGTTCTGGCGACCGCCGCTTTAATCTCACCCTCCATGGAGCACAACTGCCGCGGGGCTGTCCCGCGTATCGACAGGTTGGTTAAATTGAGTTTCGCCGGCTGGATTCCTTTTAGCCGGCGACGGATCGCCGATACCCACCTTCGATTATGCTTCCTCTCTTCCTCTTTCTCTCTCTCTCCCTCTTTTTTTTTCTCTCTCTCTCAGCCTCTGTCGCCCTAGGTATATCGCACTGAGGATCGATAGAGGCTCCTTTCGCGAGGTGCGACAACGAGTGCCGTAGAATCTCTCTTCCGCATTGGCGTAGTTTCCCATAGACTCCTCCCTAGAGCTTTTCTAGGGGCGACTCGAGATGACACGATGCTTGTCGACCTCATTGAGGAGTTACCACTCGCAATCATCGAGCATTCTTTGATCTTCTAACCTGAATTTTCTCATCTCAGTTACGAGTCTCTGTTTCTCCCGCGAAATTCTGCTTTTCTCGCACGGCTGAAAAGAGACTCGTGATGTTCTTCGAAAATTTGCTTCACTGATTCATTACTTCATTGACTTGTGCCATCGTCCCTTACTCTTGCGTTACTTTATTTCTTCTCATTATGCAACTAAAGGACCCTTCTTCTCCCGCGAACACGTGATCGAGTGACTTTGCTGATTTACAAATCGCCAACATCGGCGGGAGAGACGCGGTTTCGCGTTATTTCGCGTGCATACTGAAGCTCCTCTCTCGCGAATAAATAAATAAATAAATTTCGAGATTCGCGCGCACGCGACGTCGTCGATCTTTACGCGTCGCTCGCGAATCTAAATCGACGAGTAGCCGGCGCGCAGCGAAGAACTCGCGCCGGATAGAGGCGGCCGGGCTCTCCTCTATCTTTTCCGCTCGTCCTGCTTTCTCCCCGGCGATGTTTCTCGCGATGGCGCGACTCTCTGTGCGCCGCTCGTCCGCGGAAGATAGGAGGCATCGATCCCGCCGCACACGTTGCACACGTGATATAATTATTGCCGCGGCAACCTCGTTCCGCAGGCATGTTCGCCGAGGCGCTCTCGGTCCAGAGGATCGATTTTCCGTTTTGTCGGCCGCTGCGATGGACAAACTTTGATATTATGCTAAATAAATGTTTGCCGTTTAACCTTTTCAACGGTATCGACGCGCGCACCGCGCTGTGTGTGCGTACATACGTTTAAAAAAATACTCTCGTTATATTAAAAAAAAAATAAAAAAGATTCTTGAATTTGTGCACGCATAGTGATGCTGCGTGCTTCACTCTATTTGGAAACTGATCAAATGAGCGCAAAGTCACCCAGACCAGACGACAAGACCGGTCTCTCTCTCTCTCTCTCTCTCTCTCTCTCTCTCTCTCTCTCTGTCGTTCTTACTTTCGAGACGCCGTATACGTGACCTAGCCGAGCGTAAGAGGAAGGTGGCTTTAATAAGGGTCGACGGTCATGGGGTTACGCTTCATGGGACGGTCTTCGCTCGGCGATCGGCACACATCGTGGGAGCCGCGTCGATGATTCGTTCCGCGAGCCTCTTAAACGGACACGCATACGCGCGTAATGAAGATCGTTGACCCTGCACGCGCTTCAGCCGGCTCACGCCCTTCCTTTTCACGCGTGCACACGCTTCGATCGGCTCAATTAATGCTAGGTGGCCGTCCCCGGTACGCCTCTTTAATAGACGCGAGCTGTTATTCGATATCGTCACACAAAAAGGTACTGGCCAGACTTCATGAATCCGTTCCCTAGCATAGCGACGTTTGGAATTCTTGCCGCATCATATAGGAAAATTGTTTGGAAATGTATGGCTGTGATTGTTGCCAGTAAAAATGATCAAGTCGGCAGCACTGAGAATCGCTCTGGTGCTGCGTCTCGTATCTCTCACCGGTAAATCAACTGTTGCTGTATCGCAAAAGATAAACGTACATTGTGCAAGAGATAGATTACCCATAAATATTCTTTGTGTAACTTTGGTAACGTGTGTTCGAGTCGTTATTTTTTTTTCCCCACTCGATGACTGGTTGTGTGTCTCTTCAGCTTTCCCTCAGGATACCTATCGAGGTAAATATGTATCTACATTTATATCTACAGAGCTCCGTCCTCTTTTCTCCTTTCATTTCTATCGTTATCGAAGAAAATATTTCGTACTTCATCATCACACTGTCGCCAGAGGAACTATCATTAGAAACGATTTCTGTATAAACGTCAAGTAAAATATATTTTCCCATAATTATAACGTATATTTTACTTCGCGCTAATGTCTTGCGATACAGCAACAGTTTATTGGTGAGAGAAACGAAACGCAGTAATTGTCAGTGCTGTCAACTTTATCATTCTTTTTCCGGCAGCAGCCACAGCTATTTTCAAACACATCTTTATAACAAAACTGTCGTGCATGATTATTGTTAATTATTCGAGAAATCGACAATCCGTAGAATGCTCGACAGTTATGATGCACGAATATTTTACACGCGCCTGACCGCAAATTTCAAATGTCACTACGCCAGGGAGTGGGGCTGCATTTATGAAGTTTGGCGTACAGCAACGACACAGTTCGCTCGACACGCATCTGAGCCTGCTTTAACGGAGATAGGAACATCGCAGGAACGGCGAAGGGCATGAGTTTGCGCGAGCGTGCAAACTCGCGTCCGGGGAGGAAGGAAAGAAGAAGAGCGTGAGAAAGAAACGACTTTGGATTCGGTTTTTCTCCCGGAGACACGGGTGCGGGTATCGCGGTAACACGGTGCGAAAATCGCACTCGCGACGGCACTCGGCACGAATTTCCAATGCAACGACCTCTTTCGCTGAACAGCCTCTCGCACGCAGAGGCCTCTCATGCCTTCTGGAGAACCGGAAAATTATTCGCACGCGTGCGAGAGCCTTTCCGCTTCTGATCACCGCGACTCGCACGAGGTATCGCATTGAGCTTTCCGCTCGTGGGACACCCGGTGTGTAGTCCCTCCTTTCTCTCTGAAATCAGGCCGCTCGCCGATATCCCTCTTTATCTCGTCGCACCCGTCGCCCATCGTCACCCTTCTTGTTCTATTTCCTCCCTTTTCCGTGTCTCCGTTTCTCCTGATCTCTCTTTCTCTTTCTCTCTCCCTCTCCTTCCGCTCTGCTTTGGTCGAGCCTCTCATCCCTCGTTACGTAAGAAGAAAAGACAAAGAGAACCGGGCGCCAGCCAGCAGGCAGGAATTCGAGGGTAGATGAAAAAAGAGGGCGAAATCACGCGACAGGTCGATAACCCTCATGCAAATTCTTCGGCAGTCGAGAGGGAAGGCTCGACAAAGTGTCGTAGACAAAGCAGGGACCACCCCGAAGAGGGGATAGCACCCGACGTGGAAAGCCTTTGATCACACCCGGCGAATATCTTCGAAGACCGTCTGCGAGACGACGCGGAACGCGCTGGTTCGCCGAAGTCGCCGTGAGCGCGAGGACGGCTCCTCTTCACCGCAAGTACGGCAATTCAGACTGAAGTGCAACGCACTTATTGACCACTCGAGTAACATTCGCGCCACGTTTGCGAGATAATCGATGGCCGTTCAGATAAAAATACCGCGCGGCGTCGTCATTGTTCATCAAGGGCTGCGAGATCCTTATTGCCGGAGAAGCAGCAATGAAGAGTGCCGAGACACCGACGAGGCGAAGGACGAGGAAGGGGAGGAGGTGGAGGGGTCGCGAGTAATTCCGGAAAATT